CTGTGTGTGATCCCTGCAGTCGGGAAACTCTCAGTCTGTACGGCAGCCTGGGGACGGTCTGGGGACAGCCTGGGGATGTTCTGGGGATGGTCCAGGGACACCCTGGGGACAGTCTGGGGGATGGCCTGGATATAATGTGTGGACGGTCTGGGGACGGCCTCGGGGATGGTCTGGGGACAGTCTGGGGACAGTCCGGGACGTTCTGGGGATGGTCCGAGGACAGCCTGGGGACAGTCTGGAGATGGTCCAGGGACAGCCTGGGGATGTTCTGGGGATGGTCCAGGGAGAACCTGGGGACAGCCTGGGGACAATCTGGGGGACGGCCTGGGGATAATCTGCGGACAGTTTGGGGATGGCCCGCGGGGTCCGGAGGGATGGTCTGGGGATGGTCCGGGGACAGCCCGGGGACAGTCTGGGGGATGGCCTGGATACGATCTGCGGACAGTCCAGGGACGGCCTGGGGGATGGTCTGGGGACAGTCTGGGGACAGTCCGGGACAGTCTGGGGATGGTCCAGGGACAACCTGGGGACAGCCTGGGGACAATCTGGGGGACGGCCTGGGGATGATCTGCAGACAGTTTGGGGATGGCCCGCAGGGTCCAGAGGGATGGTGTGGGGATGGTCCGGGGACAGTCTGGGAGGTTCTAGGGATGTTCTGGGGATAGTCTGGGAATAGTCTGGGGACGTTCTGGGGACAGTCTAGGGACAGTCGGGGGGATGGCCCAGGGACAGTCCAGGGGACGTTCTGGGGACAGCCTGGGGACAGCCCAGGGATGGACACGGACTCACGCTTGTTGGGTGCTGGGCAGCAGCCTCCAGCTGGAGCCTCACCCTCTGAGGCATCATCACGTCGTCCTGAAGTGAAAAGCACAGTTTCAAGTCATGTAAAGCAACTCCCACAGACAAGAAAGAAAACGACAGAACACGGAAGAGTGAAATGGGCAAGAGATGGGAAGAGGCGGCACAGACTCTACGTCCAGGCCCGGCCCCACCGTGAGTCAGCGGGGGGATGTAGGTCATCCCCGCTTTGCCATTGGCCCCGCACCCAGAGGGCCGGGGTGTCCAGCAGCCTCAGGACAGGAAGCCCGAGGACGCAGGCGTGTCACCCACCGGGGAAAGGAGTCCAGCGTGTGAGCGTCAGAGGACCTACGGACACGCTCCGAGCAGCGGCATTCACACACAGGACCGGCCGCTGTCGGGGACGCCGGAGTGCAAAAGCCGGCAGTGGCCGTCACCACTGAGACCACGGCACAGAGACACCCACACAGACGCCTCACACAGACACGTGCTGAGCCAGAGATGCAGGAAAAGACACGTCCTATCACACACTTACTTAACAATGAACCGTATGGTCTGAGAAATGCACACATTATGCAAACTATAGAGAAAAGCAAGAATAATCCTGAAGTTGGAATGATGGCCGCTCTGCACAGGGACGGAGGGGCAAGCGTACCTCTGGGGTACTGGCCACGTAGCTCCTTCCTGACCAGGAGCTGCTCATGTACATGTTTGCTTTCTTCAACCCTCAAAGTACACAAATGTTTTGTTCATTCTTCTACAGGTACATTCTACTTCATGATAAAAGAACATTTCAATGTTCTGGTTAAGGTACAAATGTACCCAATACAAGAACTAAAAATATTGTCATTGGGGAGAAACTCTCTTTAAACTGAGCAATAAACTAAAAGGCCTGTACATGTATTCATATTCCTGCAGAAGGGCCTCAGGCACATCGTACTCATCAAATTACCTGTGATAAATGGAGCTGAGGGGGCCTGTGGCTAAGGCACGAAAGGAGGAGGAGGATGGGGGGAGGAGGAGGGAGGGAGAGGGGAGGAGGAGGAAGGGGAAGAAGAGGAGGAGGAGGAAGGACACAGGAGAGGCAGAAGGGACATAAAGGACGGGGACGGAGGGAAGGTCCCGCACCAGCCCCAGCAGAGCCCAAGCTCAGCAAGATAATGGGTGGAAAAAAGCTCATCTAGTCAAAGAATTCTGCAGTTGAGAGAATCTTGGAGCTTCAAGTTAAGTAGCTTCGCAGCCAGCATCAGACAAAAGCTGGAGGTGGACGGAAGCCTGGGCCACGCGAGGTGTGGGATGGGCTGCCGACATGAATGTTACCCTAACCCACATGACGCTCTCCCTCTACGCAGAATGAAAAGTTTATTTTGTTCTTTTTTGTTGTGAAGTGTCCTTATGTCTGGCTTTCAGACACGTGGGCTGGAAGACAGACAGAAGTTACGTGGTCAGACCTCCACACTCAGGACCCACACTCCACAGGGAGACCCTGAAGAAGGCGAGGAAGACAGTGGACCCACCAATAGGTCGAAAGCCTGCCTGCAGAGCGTGGGGTCAGTGACTTGCCTACAGTAGCTTCCTGCGTGTCTCTGCTCAAACTCTGAGTCCCAGAGGGCTTTCTTGCTCATATGGTCTGCAAATTCCACATTCTCCTGCAGAAGTGACACACTAACTACACTCCTCTCTGTTCAGCTAAGAGCTGTGTATTTTAGGAGTCTGTAGGAGTAACACAGAGTTAAGGAGAAGCACTGGCAGGAACTGGGCCTAGATCCACAAGAAGGCCTGAACTCAGAAAACACAAGCCCCTTTTGCCCTGAAGGCCTCACTGACCCTGGTTCTGAGAGGAGGGAAGCTGGAGCCAGGCTGCTCACGACCAGGGTGGGGGATTACTCCTCAGGCGGCAGCCCCGACCTCCCTTGGGTGAGAGGAGTCTGGGGGCACCGCCTTGGCAGTCCCAGGACGGCGGCTCTTCCACGTGCCTGGGGAAACCAGGGAGAAGCTTTGGAAGAAGTGGACCCTCGTCCACGACCTCCAATGTACAGGGAGGTGTTCAGAGACCAAGGCCGATGCTCAGGGATAAGCAGGCACCTGAGAAAAACACACCGAACAACACAGGAAGACCCCCCAGAAAGCAACCATTAAGGAAATAGTTCAGAAGAGTTAAAAACGAATGATTGTCAGTAGGACCACAGAAATTATCTGTTCAGTAAAAAAGGCGGAGGCGGCAGGGGCAGAACAGAGGAACGAATGAACGAATGAATGGGCGAGACAGAAAATGAACAGGGAACGGCGGGCACACAGCCAAGCAGAAAACAACGCATGTGGTAAACTCAGTCCTTTCACCAGAACTCGACTGTCGGACGGCAGTTTAAAAAACAGACACAGAAACAAAACAAGATGGGCCCACCCACTGTTCGCGAGAGACCGACTTCAGGCCCAAAGACAGAACGACGGAGCGTGGGAGCACGGAAGGCCCCCACGCGAACTGCAGCCACGGGAGACAAAGAGGGAGGCCGCGGGCGGGCAGAAGGACGACCCCAGCAGAGAGCGGACGCGTGAGCACACCTGCAAGCCCGTGACCCGGGAGCGGGAAAGAGAAACGCTCGGAGCCGAAGAGAGACGCAGACCTGAGCGAGAGCGGGAGCCTGGCCACGCGCCGCGCACGCCGGGCTGGACCGCTGGCCGGGAGCCCACAGAGCAGCGCTCAGCCCGCCCGCGACGTTCGCCACACGTGGGGGCCGCGGCGTTAAAGCACCAAGGCCAGAGAAGGCGTGTGCCCTGACCACACGGAAGCGGAGGCAGAAATCAAGTGCAGGAGAGTCTGGGGGACCCACCACCGGCGTGCAGAGGAGAGCCCAGCGCAGAAGAGGACACCACGACGGGTTCCGGCCGAGCGGAAGTGAACATGTGACACGGCAGCACAGCTGGGGCCACCCCTGTGCCAGCTAAGACCGGGTTCTTAGGAAACACCAAGGAAAAAGAGCAAACTACACGAGAAGTAAACCGAAGAAAATAATAAAGATCTGAGCAGCGAGAGAGGAAAGGAAAACACTAGAGAAAATCAGTTCAGACGACGACTGGCTCTTTGAAAACAAGAAATGTAACCAACCTTGAGCTACACGGCAGACCCGCAAACTCTTTCTGTAAAGGGCCAGATACTAGGTATTTCAGTCTTTGTGGTCATATGTGGTTTCTGCCAATATTCTTCTCTTTTTGTTCGTTTTGGTTTTGTAGCACTTAAAAAAAAGACCATTTTTAGCTTGGAGGTCATAAAAAACAGGCTGCCAGCGGGTTTGGCCCATGAGCTGTCATCCGCTATCCCTGAGCTGCACGGGGAGAAAGAGACACAAGCAAGTAGATTCTGGAATGAAACGGAGGCAGCAGGGCCGGTCTCTGAGCAGGTGTGAGAGCGGCAGGAGAGCCCAAATCAACCGCGTGCCAACGAATCACGTGGCTCTGATGAAACGGACAATTGTTAAAAAGACGTGGGTTTCTGAAATAGACTGAAGAAAAAATACAAAATCTGAAGAGATCTATAAAAAGGGAAAAAATATTGAATTAGGAATTAACACAACATGAAACAAAACGATACGATACGATATGATACAATATACAGAGAAAGTGCTAGCCTTGTACGGTGGAAATTAGGAAACTCACTGAAAGAAGGGAAAGATCTAAGTGAACAGAGACACATCCCACATTCATGGTCAGAAGACTCAACATCACGAAACAATTCTCCCCCAATTGACCTATGGATTCACTGCAACTCAAATCCAAATCTCAAACTTGCATTTTTACAGAAACTGGCAGCTGCCTCTGAAATTCCCATGGAGACACAAAGACCCAGAACGGCAGTGTTGGCCAAAGAAGAAACACCGTGGAGACCTCATGCTTTCGGGGAAGCTAGCACTTGGGTGGGAGATGCGGGCTCAGACCCAGCAGATGAGGACCTACAAGGCAGAGGCTGGGACCCCGGGGGCCAGAAGGCAAGGACGCACACAGACGCCCCACCACACACAGAATGAATCTGACGTAGACCACGGACCTCAGTGTCAGAGCTAAAACTGGGAACTCCTAGGAAAATCTCGGTGACCCTGAGCAAAGCGAAGAATCCTCAAAGAAAAGTGGGGCTTCATCAAAATTTAAATTCTTGTGAAGATTTAACAAGATAGTGAAAAGAGCTCCCCCAACTGGGAGGAAACGGGGGCAGAGGCCCCATCCGTGCGGGTGCTGGGGGTCTCCTCAGCCATGGGGCAGGCCCTGAGCAGAGGCCCCCAGCCGCTGTGGGGGACCCGCCCAGCAGGCGTGGTGACAAGAGCCTTTCCTATCCCTGGGCCATCCACTCTTCCTTCAGCTCTGCAAGAGAACTTCCCCCAATGTCATTAAGGGCAGAAGTGACAAATACATATGGCAAACAGTGCACTTAATAGTGAAAGGGCTCAGCACCTTCTCTGAGATTGGAAAGGAGATGAGGACACCCATTCTCGCAATGTCTGGTTAACAACCGACTGGAAACTCAAGTCAAGAAAAAGAAATAAAAAGCACAAGGCTTAGAAAGAGAAAAAGGGATTGTAGACATAAACGTCCCAAAATAATCAACAGAGAAATACTGGAATTAAAAGTAAGTTCAGCAGGGTTCCTGAATACAAGATTAATAAGGTTAAATTAATGTCTTTATACCTACAAAATTTTTATATGATGCTACTTACAATAATACCAAAAAATATCAGATTATTCTCCCACATCATTGGTGAGAATGTAAAGTGGTAAGCTCCTTTGGAAACAGTCTGGCAATTCCTCAAAATGCTAAACGTGGAGTTTACAGCCCAGCAGCACCAGTTCTGGGTCTATGCCCACGAGAACTGGACACGTCTGTACACAGGGGAACTAGTACAGGAATGCTTGTGTCCACGTCTGCTGAGCAGCTAAAAGCAGATACAACTCAAACGCTCATCAAGCAGCATCTGGATAAACAAGATGTGGTTCCTGCATCCAGGGTCCCATGACGCCGTGCTGGGAAGAAACAGAGCTCTGACACGGCTGCAACATGAGGGAAAGAC